GAAATGACCATACGTAAAATCAGCAAGGATCATACGTAAAATCAGCAAGGATCATATGTAAAATCAGAAATGACCATACGTAAAATTAGGAATGACCATACGTAAAATTAGGAATGACCGAACGTAAAATTCGGAATGACCATATGTAAAATCAGAAATGACCATACGTAAAATTAGGAATGACCATATGTAAAATTAGGAATGACCATATGTGAAATCAGAAATGACCATACGTAAAATTAGGAATGACCATATGTAAAATCAGGAATGACCGAACATAAATTTAGGAATGACCATATGTAAAATCAAGAATGACCATTCGTAAAATCAGGAATGACCATTCCTAAAATCAGAAATGACCATTCCTAAAATCAGGAATGACCATACGTAAAATCAGGAATGACCATACATAAAATCAGGAATGACCATATGTAAAATCAAGAATGACCATATGTAAAATCAAGAATGACCATATGTAAAATCAAGAATGACCATATGTAAAATCAGGAATGACCATTCGTAAAATCAGGAATGACCATTCGTAAAATCAGGAATGACCATATGTAAAATCAGGAATGACCATTCGTAAAATCAGGAATGACCATACGTAAAATCAGGAATGACCATACATAAAATCAGGAATGACCATCTGTAAAATCAGGAATGACCATATGTAAAATCAGGAATGACCATTCGTAAAATCAGGAATGACCATACGTACAATCAGGAATGACCATTCGTAAAATCAAGAATGACCATATGTAAAATCAGGAATGACCATTCGTAAAATCAGGAATGACCATTCGTAAAATCAGGAATGACCATACGTAAAATCAAGAATGACCATATGTAAAATCAGGAATGACCATTCGTAAAATCAGGAATGACCATTCGTAAAATCAGGAATGACCATACGTAAAATCAGGAATGACCATTCGTAAAATCAAGAATGACCATATGTAAAATCAGGAATGACCATTCGTAAAATCAGGAATGACCATTCGTAAAATCAGGAATGACCATACGTAAAATCAAGAATGACCATACGTAAAATCAAGAATGACCATTCGTAAAATCAAGAATGACATGTGAAATTAGGAATGACATGTGAAATTAGGAATGACATATAGCATATACAGAAAAATAGCTGATAGCAATATGAAGACACAATAAGTTGTATATTATTTTGATACTCTGGTATTCAGTGTTGGTGCCTAGCTAAGCTGTCCTCTTTTTTTTCTTTTTTTTTACAATTTTTATAACCATGATGATATTTCATCTTTATTTTGATAGTCGCTAAATTTGCAGGTATAGAAGTCATGTTGTCATTTTTTTAAATACTTTGCAGAGTTTGTGGATATGTCTGATTTGTGGTAACGTTGGTTGCGGCCGTTATACGTCGGCTCACGCGTACAGTCATTTTGAGGAAACTCAGCACACGTATGCTATGCAATTAGGAAACAACAGAGTATGGGACTATGCCGGTGGTGAGTGAGCAATGAATATACATATTTATTCCTGCCGAAATTCAGGCATTTATACTTTAAATTGAGGATTCAAATATACTTTCAATTGTAGATCAATATGTACTGTATATGAATTATAGATAAATAAATATTAGATAAAAAAATATACTTCAAATTAAAATCAAAATAAACTCTAAATTCTGGATCAACTATATTTTTTATAAAGTTTACATTTAGCTTGATCTGTATTTGTTGGCATTTCAGATAACTATGTACACCGACTAGTACAGAGCAAAGGAGATGGAAAAATGGTGGAATGGGACAGGGGTGATCCTGAGGAAGAGAGAGAAGAAAAAGTTAATTCACTAGTTCTAGAGGTGCGATAACATGATGCCACCGCAGACATTGTCAATTCACTAGTTTAATTTATAAGAAATATTGAATATATACGTATGCTCACAATATTTACTCTTAGGTGGACGTAAACAGGCACTGGGGATTACTGCCAGAGTTTTGTATTAATCATTGCATATCACTCAGATTGATGCTACTTACATGTGTGCTGGTGGTTATTACCTGAAAAAAAATATCATCCGGTTATATATTTATTCCATGCATATTTCCATAGTACAAAAAGGCGAAATATTGTGTTGATATAAAACTGAATTGAAATTAAGTGTACCTACTGGTAGTATGCTAATTTTGTTGTAGCGACAGATGTTCTATTTCTTGATGTCCACATGAAAGATTTTTTGTTCCCCATAGTTATTAAACAGTATAAAAACCTGTTTCACACAACCTTTAGGCAGTGTGTACAATGAAAACAAGTTTGGCAGTATGTGACGTTATGTCACACTATGTGATATGCATTTTTTATCTGTCCTGTATTACATCACATTGAGGAGATGTGCATGTTATGTCTGTAATAATAAGTTTTATCTGTGTCTCAAATAGACCATTTTTCGTTCACTGCGAGAATCATGCGTTATGCGTGAAATCGAACATAATAACAGGACAAACAAAGGTCATAGTGTCGTAGTGGCGTCAAACATCGCATGGGATTTGACAAACGCGAAAATATTTTGGGGTCATTTCCATGCTTAATAATGTGCTGTACACATTTGATGATAGACAATTTCGATTAAGTGAGGGTATTCGAAAGCAATATTACGCTGTCGAAGATCGGCTGGTCGATGTGAGCTACGAAATAAAGAAATTCAAGTTCAAAATCAAATCGTTCGATTTTTGCGGCAGACGTTCTATACGCGTCTTTCATGCATCACGCTAGTTGAATGGAAAATCACCTATTGTAAACATTTGGCAATGTATTTGTTCTCAATTGTTGTCAATGATTTTCTCGTTTCACGTTCACAGTTTAATTATTTATTACGAAGTCAGTTGGAGTCGCAGAGGTTGTACTTTGAAGAACAGATCTCTAGAGTGGAACAAAAAACAAGAGAAGAGGTACAAAACACATAATTAGTTATAGATTTAGATTGCACATGTACATCTAGTCACTGTAAAGTTGCATACATTATACACTGTTTCGATCGAGGGGTAAATGTCTGTCCTCGTCATTGTAATCGTTTTCTTCTTTGTTGTCCACAGCGTAAATTACTATCTTTCACTTAAAAATAACTCAAATAATTTTTATCTGATCTTTTTCAAACTTGGATATTTTATTAACCAGTTTGTGCTTTTGGTGAAGTCAAATTTTGGCATTTGCTTTTCTCATGGTTACAATTTCTATTTGATCATTTTAAAATTTGGAATTCCTATTAATCATAACAAAATGTCCACCATGTTCTATCTTGATAGCACCTATGTATGTTTATTCAATCCTGTAAGGCTAAACTGCTTCTTTTCTAAAAGAGTGCTTCTAATAATGTCAATGTTCATTTCATTGTAGGTTACAGAGGTAGAACAACGATCCAAGATGACTTTAAAACAATGCGAGAAACTTGAACAAAAGTTAACTCACTGTGTAAAAGATAGAAATGCATATGAAAAAAAGTGTTCTCAATTGAATAGTAAAATAAACAAACTTGTCATTGAACTTAAAGAAGAACAAGAGGTATGTTACTTGGTTCCAACCAGTTCATTCTGGTTCTGACCAGTTTTAGTGGTACAGTAGAACGTCGATTATCCGGGCGTCGATTATCCGAAATGTTCGGTTATCTGAACCTATTGTGTGTCCCCCAAAGTTTGTATGCAGGTCTGGCTGTGTTCCGTGTTCCACTGTAAATAAAAATGGTCCTAAAAACACAAACTTCATCAAATGTCTTCTCCACTGTTTACAGTCAGATCCTTAACTTTACCAAGTTGTAAGTCACCGCAGTTCAGATACGTTTCCCGTGAATATTGTACGGGGTTCCACTGCCGTCAAAGAAACGCGGCCATGAGCCGATCCCATGTTTTTTCCGATTTTTAATTTCAATGTCCAGTATCAAAAGTCACATCCTTTTCGGAATAAAAAAAGAAAGAAAATTACTTCTGGGATGTCTTGCCACAGAAGCAACGCCAGTTTAATAGTGCAGTGAAAAAGAGACGAAACAACAACCCTTTGGTGTGCCTCTCTTTGATGGTTTATCAGCAGACAACGGCAACCAATGACCACAGTCGGCCGTTTGATGGTTCACAGCACCAAAGTGTTTACGTCCGGTGATCACAGTAGCCAACAATTTATTATGTCAATCGTTCTAGGTGTTAAAAACTTTGCTGAATCCAATAAAATCGGGACATCTTGTAGCAGTTTACCATTCGAAAATCCACGAGCAATCTGGTAACATCGAGCCGATCTATACACAGCGAATACGAAATGACCTTTCACCTGTTTACTTTATCAGCGTCTTTTATCTAGCGTTGGCATGGCTACCCCAGTGAAATGCAAACACCGTGTGCTTGATTTGGACGCGAAGGTGTCAATTATAAATCGATTAGAACGTGGCGAAACCGCAAGAAATCTATCTACCGAGTATGGTGTTGGTAAATCGACAATATCCGATATCAAGGCAAAACAAAAGCTGCTGGATTTTTCCAGTAAAATGGATTCAAGTGCAGGACTGAAACGAAAGATGATGAAAACAGCCTATGGCGATGGTTTAAAGAAATCCGTCTTCACTTGGTTCCGAGACTTGGTTTTCCCAAGAAAGAAGCAAAAGAACTTTATTATCGCTACATTTTACGGACATTTTGAAACATTTTTTAACATTCCAGCATGCAACATTTTTATTACAATGTATTACTGATTAAATAAAAAATGTTTTTAATGACGTACTCTACATGTACTATTGTTTGATTTCATTACAGTCATGTGCGTTAGAATTTGTGTGTACGTGAGCCTGTAAATTTGAGCGCACCCACACAAGATCGCATATCAGAACTGTTTGCATAACCGAACAAAAAGCATGTCCCCCTAACAGTCCGGATAATCGACGTTCTACTGTATGTTACTGTTTTTGCCATGCAAAGGAAAGATTTACCAGGAGGCAACTGCATGCTTATTTGTATCCACTGATCACTTTGCTATTTAATCTATGTTCTCAATGGGCAAGGCTGTAATAGATATGCTATGTTTAATAAATATGATCTCAGAATAAATGAATGAAATCATAAAAATGGTATTTTTCTTACATCAGTAAAATCACTAACCCATAAATAATATGTGCATAAATGATTTTCAACAGAAGAAAAACATAGATCTTTTCGAGGTTAAACCCTAGAATTATATTTATTTATTTCTGAAAATATTTTCCAGTAACAATGAGTTGTTTACATAGGGTGCAAGAACTGATCTATTATTATTGCAATTTGTTCAAACCAGTACAATCTAGTTGTGACCAGTTTAG